CGGTCCCTCGTCCGGCGAGAACGTCCAATGAACGTCCAATGCGAAGATCCTGAAAGTCCGAGAGGTCAGAATTCACTCCTTGCGCAGATGTGATAAATTCATGCCTTGCGCTGCTCTAAGCGCTGTACATGACCGCTTCATGTCGCTCACACAGGTTCACTTGTGTACGGCATAGCATCGTTGAATGCTAGCGCGATCTTCCGCATGGCTCTGGCAAGCTTCGCGAATCTAACCTTGGCGAAGAATGTGACACTTCTAGCATCATCAAATCCTGTTTGTATCTTTTTGTACTGTATAACATGGTGCTGAATGCTTGGTTGGATTCCCCATTGTGCCATGACCATGTCGCGCCCTTGTGTACGTACAATGTTGCTTCTATTGCATGTGAAGTGTGGACACTGTGATTGGGTCACACTTGTGGAAAGGTGCAGCTATGAGCATCACCTTCGCTTCTAAGCGGATATTTTCCGAACATTTGCCACCTCCCTGGGTGGTGGGACCCGAATCAGCTGTTGCTTTTGGGAGTTTTCATGCTGTGCTCACAAACTGGTATATATATATATAGATGTTGACAGTGAAACTTCTGAGATCAGTTTGCAAATTTGCAACTAGCATCACCTGGTATTCGGAGCCAACGTTTGCCTCCCAGACCAGCATCAGCATTTTGCCTGGCAGGTTGGCATTTGCGCGTTTTGTTCCCGTTCGAAATGATTGTTTGAGAGTCCATGCACTGTGCTGATGCGCACACTGCAAACTTCTCCCAGGATGACTCGATCATGGGATTACCGAATGATCGTTCGTCAGAAAACATTGTGAAGAGTCTTTTGTTTGAGCAGTTTGTCGCAAAGCCCATGTGTCAATCAATCAATCAGTCAGTCAGTCAGTCAATTAATCAATCAATCAATCAATCAATCAATCAACTAAGCAATCAATCAATCAATCAATCAATCAATCATGAGATCTCACATTTGTCCTCTCATCTCATGACTCAGGAGTTCGAGAAGTACACCGAATCTGGATTTGGGGCTTTGCATATGGGCTCTCAAATTGACGACCCCGAGGCAATATCAATATGTTTTGGATTCAAATTCAATATGGTGCAGTTTTTGCTAGTAGACATCCAACAATTGCAATTGCTACTTGAGAAAGTTACAGTACATGCCGCTAACAGAGCGAATCAACATTTGAGTAGGCCTTGCTGGCCGACCATGTCGCAGCCTTAACGCATTAATTGCTTGCTTGCCATAGTGCAACCACCCTCACTGGATTTGGTGGGGCCTGGTCATGTCCACCAAACACACACACTTATGGATATGCATACTGAACTGAAAGCGGTGCCACACGCCGGCCTAGGGTTCCAATTCCTAAGGGTACATCTACGAACCACTGGATCCTGGAGGTCTTCAAGAGGAAGCAGGGCCCAAAAGGAAAAGAACGGACGAACAGGCTGACGGCGTGCCGCTCGCATCTGCAGTTCAAAGAAAACATCAAATCTTCAAATCTTCGAGGTTCTTGGCTTAGCCTCTTGCCATTCGGAAAAGGAAAATGCAGGTACGTGCAATCTGCGTCCAGATTGCATATCACAGCAAACTTGAAGTGTCTTCGTTGAGCGGTGACTTCAAGAATGCCCACCGCTCCCCTGCTGCATAACGAAGAGACAAAAGCAAAAACAATCCGAAAGGATCCCTGTGATTCCAAGGGTTACACACACACACGCCTCCCCGAGGGGAGGCGAAAAACTAAGGTGAGGGCAAATGTGCGCGTGTGCGCGCACAAGAGACAAAAGAATGAAGACATGACAGGAGGACGAGACGGGACAAAGGTGCGTGTGGTGGAAATGAAAGGGGAACCAAGTGCACAGGGACAACCGATGAAGCCCACCTCATTGTAAAGACCTGGGCGACCTGAAACCTGTGTGAATGTATGTAGAAGTGCACGTACACACTAAGGCCGGGACCAATGTGCGCGCAAACGAAGAAAAGAATGAGATGACCAGACATGAAGACAGGAGGACATGAAAGAAAAGAGGAAGCAAAAGTGTGTGAAGGGGAAGGGATGAAAGGGGAACCAAATGGAGGGGACGAGAACCGATGAAACCAAACCTCATCATTAGAAGCACCTAGGAAGACCTCGCCTGGTTTGCATGTACACGCTGTGTGTGCACCTGAGAATGGGACAGGTCCCAATGAACCTTGAACAAACTTCGGTCGCTGCGACCACGGAATTCCAAAGATGAGACAAAAATCATCGTACGTACGGCCTAGGCCACCTACGCTCGCTGCGAGCTGCTCTGTATCCGGGCAGTGGATACGTTCGACAAACCCCCGTTCAACGGGTCCACGGGAGGCACTCTGCGGGCTCATCCCGGGTTGGCGCGTAGCCAAACACACTTGTGGATATGCATACTGAACTGAAAGCGGTGCCACACGCCGGCCTAGGGTTCCAATCCCTAAGGGCACATCTACGAACCACTGGATCCTGGAGGTCTTCAAGAGGAAGTAGGGCCCAAAAGGAAAAGAACGAACGACGGACGAACAGGCTGACGGCGTGCCGCTCGCATCTGCAGTTCAAAGAAAACATCAAATCTTCAAATCTTCGAGGTTCTTGGCTTAGCCTCTTGCCATTCGGAAAAGGAAAATGCAGGTACGTGCAATCTGCGTCCAGATTGCATATCACAGCAAACTTGAAGTGTCTTCGTTGAGCGGTGACTTCAAGAATGCCCACCGCTCCCCTGCTGCATAACGAAGAGACAAAAGCAAAAACAATCCGAAAGGATCCCTGTGATTCCAAGGGTTACACACACACACGAGATATTGCGTAAGGAACTGAATGCCACATGCCACACGCCCACCTAGGTATGAATGCCTAAGAGGTCAGGTTAAAGACAATGTAAGACAGTTTGGCCATAAACCTGACAGTCTTCACACCCAAAGTCATGAACACGAAAAGATCGACAAGAAATCGACCGGCGAGCACTTGACTGCCAATGGTGAACCGCTGCGATGGCCGGAAGATTGTTCTAACTACAAGCAGGGACCAATTGGGGATGAAAGTCATAACGCAGGTACGTCACTGGACGTCTCCAGTTATATAAGTGGAGCTCTGCAGGCCTGCTTCACTCCCATAACGAAGAAGCAAAATCAACGGGTTGCCTGTGACTCCAAGGGTTTCACACACACACACACGCCTCCCACAAGGGGAGGCATGAGGAAACAAAGGTTTAGGCTAAGGTGCATGTGTGCGCGCAGCGGTTCACCATTGGCAGTCAAGTTTTCGCCGATCGATGTCTTGTCGATCTTTTTGTGTTCATGACTTTGGATGTGAAGACTCTCAGGTTTATGGCCAATCTGTTTTACAAACCTGCAGGAGGCTTACGCCAAAGTTTTTCGCCAAGACTTGATGAACTATTGATTGAAAGCAGGCAGCCATCCAGCACGCCGATACGTGTCACAGCGGACGAGAGCAGGCTTATGACAAACGTGGTCGCAGCGACCAAAGCATTTCAAGGTCCATTGGGATCTGTCGCCACCTTAGGTGCACACACCACGTGTACATTTCAAACCAGGCTAGGTCTTCCTAGGTCACCTTAATGAGGTTTGGTTTCCTCGCCTTTTGGCCCCTCCACTTGGTTCCCTTGTTGCCCTTTTCCCTTCACACACACACACACTTTCTTTCCTCTTTCTTTTCATGTCTTTCTGGCTTCATGTTTCGTCATCTCATCCTTTTTTCTCTTTTGCGCACACACTGGTCCGATCCTTAGTGCGTACGTGCACCCGCACACGAAACCCAGGTCTGAGGTCGCCCAGGTTGTTATAAGGAGGTTTGGCTCATCTGGTTGTCCCTGGTCACTTGGTTCCATTTCATCGCAACCACACACCCCTTGTCTGTCTTGTCTTCCTCACTCATTTGTCTTTTTGCGATGGCCGGAATATTGTTCTAACTACAAGCAGGGACCAATTGGGTAATGAAAGTCATAACGTAGGTACGTCGTTGGACGTTTCCAGTGATATCCTCAGGACACTGCAGAGAGCTTTGTTAAGTGGAGCACTGCAGGCCTGCTCCACTCCCCTGCTATTTGCCAAGAAAGAACTCGAACACGAAGAACCAAATCAACGGATTCCCTGGAGTCAGGGCTTCACACACGCACACACACACACCTAGACATAGGGCCCGCAAGAGCAAACATCAATTGTGAAGGTCCCGTGATGATAGCCCTGTAACTTACTGCAGATCAGACCTTGACTTGCAGAACTGGAAGGCCCGTCGGCAGAACAAAATGTTTGAGCAAGGAGAAGTATTAGCACTTTACGGGAAGAGGAAAGACACAGCTTGGAACATCACAACTATGCGGGAATGCCAGGCTGATCAGGTCTTGTTTCACCAGGATTGCAACTGTCTTCGTTGGCAGGAAACTTGCGATGGTGCTACTGCCCCCTCCGATAATAGTGTGCTTGAATCGCCTTTGAAACAGGGTTTGACGCGCGCACACACAGACACCGTGTCATAGTCATAGTCCTTGATCTCCGCGGCAGAATGTGGTGAACTTGAGAGATTGCCACGTCCACTTGGCTGAGGACGTAGTGTTTGTGGCAACGGGAAGGAACTGGCCTACTGACACATGGCGCCAAGGTGAGGTTGGACTTGCATGCTCCCTGGAAGTGAATGCGTTGGAGTGCACCACCCAGCTTTGTACCAGGACACGGATTTCAGGTTTCAGTTGGTCACCACGAAGAGGCTGGCGACGGAGCGAATTTCAGAGTGTAACAGAGGGACACAGTTCCTGGCATCTCACAAACTGTTGAGACATCAGGTTTAGGTTCAACAGCTTTCACTGGCTTCGGCTTTTCAAATCAAATTGTGCTTTACCGTTGCTGCTTTTTGGCCTGGTTAGAATGCAGAGACATGAAGGGAACAGACTTGCCACCTCAGGCTTTGTGGTTGACTTTCTGACTTGTGTAGTTGGCTAGTTAACCTGTAGGACTTCTGTAGGTATCTTCGGACCTTCTGCTTTCTTGACACGATGCGCATGAATAAGATGCCCCAGCCATGTGCATGGATGGTATCGATGCTTGCTTCGCTGGGCTGCCACTTTTCGGCGAGTTGCCAAGCGGTTGGAGGAGACTGGAACTTGACTATGAGATGGAAGTTTCTCAGAGGAGATGGAAGATGACAAGACATCACACGGTACCGTAGGTGTTCTAACTGCAAGAGGATGAACGCAGAAGACTTCCCATAAGTCTTTGGGACCTTTTTGACGGCGTCTGGCATCTGGATCAAAGAGAAAAACGTAAAGAGCAAAGGATCAAAAAATATCAAGTCTTCAAGTCTAGTCGTCCCCTAGGCCCTCAAGCTCCTAGTCCACTGGTCGCCTGGTCCTTCGGTCTCCTGGACTGGTTCCTTGGTCCACTCAAAGGGAAGGTCCCCTGGTTCATTGGTCCCCTTCTCTTGGTGCCCTAGTCCATTGATCCCCTGGTCCTTTGGTCCCCTGGTCCTTTGGTGTCCTAGTCCGTCAATATTGGTCAAAAGCACGAGGTTTGCAAAGCGCTACCCGGTTGCCTTGGTCCTTGTGTCACTTTCTGAGCGATGGCTTTTGATGTTTGGTTCGCTGGGGGAGGTGCCACGAAATCTGCATTACTTTTGCCAATGGGCTGAGCCTACCACGACAGATTTTCTAAAGGTCACCCAGGCACCCATCCTTTCACTGTCCTGTGGTGGATGGGCCCCTCATTGATCACATAAGTTACCTCTTGTCTTTGTCATTAGTTTGTGAGATCGTTTCCCTACGGAAACTGAAACCATCTCTTTTCTTTGTTTCTGGTTTCCCTGCGGAAAGTATCTTCTGATTTTGTTTTTAACCTCTTACTGGGCCTGCCACGACCAACTTTTTAAAGTCACCCCATCGCATATCGACACCAAATATTGCACACCCTCGCATTTTTTTGATTGTTTGTTGATCATCCCTTCATGGTCCTCTGGTCGCCTGCCCTGCTGTTGTTGTGCTTTGCCCAGTCTCCTTCCTTTCATTGCTCACTGGGAATGTTTTTGATCGACTTTTTATTTTTTTCACCCGTCGAGTCTTTTTCTATTGACGCGGTACTTATTTTTTTAGATCCCTCACCCCTTTTTGACCCCCGCAAGATAGATACTATGTTTTTTTGATGCCAGTTTGGCGGTTTATTGTTGTCAAATCACTTTTGCATGCATATACATTTTGTATCCATCACTCAGGCTGGAAATTCTGCTTCAGATGAGCAACCAAGGCGAGCCCGCGCAATCTGATGCTGGTGCCGCCAATTTGCACTGCAACTGTCTATTACTCTGGTCGAGCCGTTGTCCCTGTGGAGTACTTGAAGAAGAGAGTGCCTGAAGAGAGTACTGCTGCTCAGGGTTTCAAGAAAGATAAGGTGAACAGGTGAAAAAATGTGAAAAGGTGTTGTGAGGTGCTTCAAATACATTGCCAACTCGCCAATGAAGCTTTTGTTTAGCTGAATCTTTGCTTATGGTTTTAGTTGTAGATAGGCAGCTATCAAAATAGAGCAATCATGCACAGCGGTGCAGAGTCTTTCAACCCGAATATCCCGATTCTGGTTGTGTGCGAGCACAGATATATGGGCATTGCTTGAGAATCAATAGCGGCCGTAGTGATACAGTATAGTGTATAAGATACTTTGGACAAGTTTTGTGATCAAGCTGCAAGATTGCTGCAAGGCGTTGAGTTGGCACCCTTTCGATGACACTCTATCTATCTATCTATCTATCTATCTATCTATCTATCTCTCTCTATGTATCTATGTATCTATCTATCTATCTATCTATTTATCTATCTATCTATCTATCTATCCATCCATCTATCTATCTATCAGCCTTTCGGGCCCAGCTGGGCTGCCCGGCCACGCTCTCGATGCACGTGGTGCCTGCGTGGTCATGGCGACCCTGAGAGCAAGTTCTTTTTGGGAGTCAGGGCTCCCCGGCAGCTGGATTGGCGCTCTCTCTGGCACCTCCTCTTCCTCTGCGGTGTGATCCTGACCCTGACCTTGGACCTTAGCGTTCCGCTGGGCTTGCCTGGTCCCAATTCCAGGTCCGTCACGGCTCGATCCTGTTTTGAGCACCTTTTTTCTAGTGACGGAAAAGGGCAGGGTTGGACGGGGGCCATGCCCCGTCTGAGAGGGGACAAGTCTGACCACATCCGACAAGCTCCCCCCCGAAACTCATGGCACAGGGCCCTTGGAATCCTACGGGATCAATAGAATTCGCAAACGTAGCTTCAAACGAGCTCAACAAAGACTTGCGTTGCATGGTTTCGCCTACTACCATGGCCGCCTCCTCACTGGGCTTCCTTCGAACAGGCATGAGCAACCTACGACCAGGGTTCGACAGATTGACGCCCTGATGATCCAGAGCACCCACTGGTCCATCGAAGAGCCTTGGACATCACATGGCTACCATATCATCCCTTCTCCTGAATTGCGCAAAGCAGGAGGAGGATTGATTACAGCAATACGAACCTCCATTTGTCCTAGGCACAATATCAGCTTTCAGGACTGGATGTCTGGCCGACTCCTTCATGTCCGCTGTTATCTCAAAAGGACCACATGGATTTGGTCAACATATATCAGGTTCCTACGGGGCAAACAATAACCAGACCTGAACCCATGAAACATAGACTGGACATTTGGAATTCGGTTCATCAGCTACTTCATCAACTCCCAGTTCGAAACACACTGGTGTTGGGAGGTGACTTCAACACTTCCCTTCGTGATGGAAATGGAGTTGCTGCCTCAGATACCCACATGCTCCGAAGCCTCATCAAGGACTATGGTCTCACGAATCTCAGGACCAACGACAACACTCCCACGTATGTGGGACCCAGAGGATCCTCGACCATCGACTACCTGTTCATGAGACAGGCGCAATGTGACAAACGTGCCAGGCACACCAAATGTTTGGTTGATTTTCCTTTGATACAGGACAGAGCTTTTCCGGACCACAGACCGCTGATTGGAAGCATTCCGGCAGATTGGAAGGTCTGGATCCATTGCAAAACTCAGTCAACCCATGTGCTGCCTCACAATCGCACCAAGGCCTTGATCCGAGCTGCGCACCAACATCAGGACGGATGGCGCAGATACTTGCAGGAGGCCGCCGCTCTGACTGCCCAATTCCCTGCACAGGATCCGGAACACCTGACCTCACGACTTCTTCAATTGAGCACTATGGCCACAACGAAGGTGGACCCCTCCATGCCCCTCTGGCTACAACCACAGTGTCAATCTCTGGTCGCCAGGAAATGGAGGAATCTCTTCAGAGCCAGACATTGTGGCAGAGATTTGCATGGCCTGTTCCTCAGATGGGCACACTGGACCAAGTTCATGCAATATCACAAACAACTCCAACTTCACTGTCGACAAAGCAAACGAGATCGCATTCGGACCATCACTGCATCTGCTGCAAGGGCAGCGCACCAGCACGACTCCAGAGCCCTCTACGAGGCAGTGAGGGCTCTCACGCCCAAACAGCTTCGGAAGGCCATCCGATTCAGAGGACCACAAGGACAGATCCTTGCGCCTGACCAGGAACTAGATTGGCTATGTGATCATTTTCACGATCTCTTTGGTCATGAAGATCAACCTTGTCCGTTGACGTGTGCACCATGGTTGGTGTCTGCAGATGAAATTGCAGTGCAACTCTCCAAGACCAAGATCCATAAAGCTGTGGCCCCAGGTACACTTCCGGGCAATATCATCAAGTCCATGGCTGAACCGCTTGCGCGCTGCCTGGAAGCTTACCTGTGGTCTCAATGGCAAAGTGCACCATGCGTGCCAGCATGCTGGAAGGATGCGCACTTGACTCTTTTGGCCAAGAATAAAGTGTTGACCCCGGCTGACCTGAGGCCGATTGCTTTGACCTGCGGCCTTGGTAAGGCCCTCCTGGGAACATACATGCAGAAGGCACGGGACTTCATGCTACCTACCATGCAAAAATATCCAGTATTCGCTTATCTACCACATCGTGGAGTTCCTGAAGCTTTATACCTGGCACACCAGTTTTGCCCTGAAATTCGTGAACGATGTCAGGCGATGAGACCGGGGCCATGGACACCATCTGCCCAGACCCAAACACTGCCAGGCGGGCTCATTTTATCCATGGATCTCAAACAAGCCTATGACAGACTTCCACGACAACAGTTGGCAGAAGGTCTCGCTTTTTGTGGATGCCCTCCGTCCCTACAAACAGTGTTGTTACATTGGCTTCACGAGGCCCACTATCACCTCAAACACAGAGGTCTGAGCCGGTCCATCACAACCTCACGGGGAGTGAGACAGGGATGCCGGGCCTCTCCACTTGAATGGACGGCCTTTTTGATCTTGGTATGTCATCGAATAGGGATGACCATCAATGACCACTGCCCTCAAGAGGCTTTTGGGTGGATATGCAATCATCTCATCACATACGCGGACGATATTTTGAGCAAATGGTGCGTTCACAGCGCGCAAGAACTGCACCAGGTCCTTCGACAGATTGGAACCACTTTTGATCTTCTTGAAAAACATGGACTTGTCATCTCCTTTGCCAAGACAACCATTTTACTTCGAGTTGAAGGCAGAGGCATGAAAACATGCATCAAGAATGTCACCAAAACTCAAGATGGCTGCGCATGGATCCTCATCCCTCGAACACAAGGCCATACAATGATCAAATTGGTGTCTCAACGCACGCATTTAGGGGTGCAGTTGTCCTTTCGGAATTTTGAGCAGATGACACTACGTCACCGTCTACAAGATGGACAAATCACCAGACACCGCCTGAGACCATGGCTGAATGGTAAACACGTCCTCACGTCTCGGGACAGAGCGCAACTGTGGTCCACCTGTGTGCTGTCGAGCTATGCACACGGCCTTGGATGCTGCGGGCTTCGACAGGAGGGATTACAGCTTTTGTGCAACAAAATACACTCAGACCTACGACGCATAGGCAAATCACCACAGCATGTGACCCATGAGCACCTTGGAGAGCAAATATCAAAACATTGCAGCGGCCAGTGGCAAGCCATGTCTTTGTGGAAACTATTCCACAAAAAAGGGACACAGATGCATGGTGTTTCAACAGCTTGCAGTGCTACATCTGGCTGTCGCACCACAGCAACAGCAGGATGAACGCTTCTTGACCAAGGCTCCGCTGCCATCAGATGACCCTCTTTTCTACTGGAACAATGAAGAGTGGAGCACGAAGCTTAGTCAAGAGTGCAGCATCTGTCAAGATCCATGTGAACCTGGTGATCTTGTTGCACACCTACATGATCACCACGGTGATCTGATCCAGTCGATCATGTCCTTCCTCAGACCAGCTTCCAAGCACTTTTCAACTTCTAGCCACCCTCACCTTGAGGCACGAGAGTCAATTGCAGGCCCTGGCGGTTCAAGACACGTACATACTGTTTCTCCAGCCGGGGACTTCCAGCATCATTCCAGCTATTCAGCAGACAACAGTAGCCTGGAAGCAAGAAGTGGACCAGAAAACGGCTACCCAGTCCCTGCGCCTCAAGCTCATGACCATGATCTCTCACGCACTCCTGGACAGGATGTTGAAAGTGGCTCAAGCCTCCACCACGATGGAGATTTGGCAAGAAGCCATTCGTCACAACCTCATCACAGAGGCTGGAGCGTGGAACTACCTGTCTTGGAACCAGCAGACCAAACAGGTACAAGTCACGCAGAAGACGCTCATCTCGATGACCAGCATGCAGAGCCTTCTGGAAGAGCTGATCGAACTGATCAGGGATCCGACAGCGGTAGTCAGACTCAAGTCCCTGAAGGCCTCAGATCAGGACTCCCACCAGACCAAAATCATGCCCTGGGTGCTACAGGTAAGCCTCCGACACCAACGACTCTACGAGGTCCTTCAGATGCTGTCAGCTTCGTCGGTGTGGAGCCTCCTGCTCGGCCGCCTCAGGCCCCACACAGTGAGAGACAACCCCATCGCCGCCAGTTTGGCGAGGGGATCATATGGCCAATCGACTGTCAGGTTGAGCAATGCCCAAAATGACTGCTATCAAAATGCTGCCTTTCAAGCCATGTTTTGGGCCCTGCTTCAACCTATGTGGAACGAGTTGGGGGAGGGATCGGAGAAGTTTGCTGAGCCTTTTGGCACGGACAGCGTGTGGATTAGTTTGAAAGATCTCCCAGGGTTTGGGGAGTTCCTCAGGCCTTGGGGTGAAGGTCAACAGGACCTCCACGAGTTTCTGGGCAAATTCCTCGAATGGATCAAGCCTCTCTGCTCCTGGCAAAGGATTGTACAGGAAGGGGAAGAGATCAGAATTACTGATCGTGGGGCGCCACACAATCCTCCGACCTTGAGGCGCACCAGCAAACACAGTGGAGACTCACCTTCAAACATTGGTTGATAGCTGGACACATTATCTAGGCATGCAAACCACCTTTCTTGCCAGTGGTCGTCTTGCATGCCTGCACCTTGACCGTTTTGCCCATGATCACCAAGGCCACCTTCGCAAGTGCTGCTGGAACCTTGAAGTGAACGCTCGCATTTGGCTGCCAATCCAAGGTGACAGGAAGCTGACCTTCGAACAGCATTCCTACATCGTGGTTGCTGCAGTCTCGCACAAAGGTCAAGATGAAGCTGGACACTTGCAAGCCATTGGCTTGTCATGGATAGTGTTCAACGATCTGGTTGAAGCTCAGGTTGTTGGTAGTCAGCCACCCCTGACTGACAGCTGGATCTTTGTGTGGCTGGCCAGGGAAGATGCGGTCGACTTAGGACTTGGCAGGTTTGGGCTCCTGGGCACCGACACCTTTCCCAGGACCATTGCGACGCTGCGTCAACAACACGCCATGCACATGGAGCGCTACCCTGGGGCTGTCCTCACTCGGCTTCGCTCTCACTGCAGTGTTTGCGGCAAGCTGATCATCTCGCACGAAGCCCTATGCCGCCGCGTGAGCCTTCGACACCCTGAACTGAGTGAGATGCTGAAGATTGACGATTTTTTGCAGACTCACCAAGAGACTGCGAACATCCCGTGCCATGGATGCACGGCATGTCCCTTGCTGTCCACCCGTCCTGCAGCTTTTCCACATGTGCAGAGTTGATTTGAATGTAAGGATTGGGACAGAGTGGAACAGACGCCAACAAGCTCACTCTGGTCCCATGTTCATGCCAGGCCGCACTATAGCCGAGGAAGGCCTTCAATTGGCCCATCTTTTCCGAACTGCGTAGTGCTGTGTTCTCCGCTCGCTGAGTGGATCAGCGATTGTGAACCGGCCTGTCCAAGTTGTTTGGTGCCCTGTGTTCTCCCTGATATCCAGGAATGTGAACCGGCCCAGGCCCTTCTGAATTGCTTGACTTCATGGACTGCCACAGTGGTTTTTGGTCCATGATGACTTTTTAATTCCGCCTATAGCGCACCACGGTGCTTAGACTGGTCATGAAGACCAGCCAGGAGAGGAACTTCCTCCTGCGCCCTCGCAATCCGGAGACCGCTTCGGAGCGCCCGAAACTGAAAACTGAAACTATCTATCTATCTATCTATCTATCTACTTACTTGTTGAATGCGTATAGACAGTGATGGACTGATTTGTTTTCCAAACAATGCCTGATGCTTCAAACCTTCCAGGTCCGCGGGCAAATGATCCTCGCAACAAGGGGCTTGATAAGGCTTGTTTCACACAAGGTGCCACGTTTCTGGGCACAAGATCAGCACAAGAAAGTACTAAAATGCATTAGAAGTGGACCCGGACCGGATTAATTTTTAGTTTTGTGCTGTGTTGACCTATAGTTGATGCTGTTTGGAACTCCGAGCGAATGGGTGATCGAGGTGCGGGAGATAGTTCGAGCTAATCCTTGGCTTGGTGGCCGCTTGCGGAAGGGCTTTGGGCGTCACCTTGAATTTGATTAGCAACCATTGTGGCTGCTTTAAAATTATGATACTTCAGCTTTGTTTTTCATGCTTGGTCGAGTTTAATTCCACGTGGGGTTCAGCTCAGGCCCATTCTTGGCAATCCCCAAATCTCCGATGGAGGATCACTTTGTGGACGCTCATTTGTACCAAATAATTCTATTATGCTTAATTTGATTCCCAAAGATGTGTAAAACGAGTTGGCTCATCAGAGTTGACTAAGGAATGCAAAGATGCTTTGTCTATCAATCCTGGGATGTGCTTCCGTGACCTGGTGGGCCACGTGCAGATGTCGTCGGCTACACTGAAGTGTGGACTGGCTTGCCTGAATCGCAACGAGCAGCTGTTCAGGGTCGCTGTGCTTCCGGCCCAACCAGACCATTTCTTGCTGGTGGTTTCTTTAAATCATACCATTGGCAACTGGAAAGCTTACAGCAGTTTTGGTCATTTTACCGTTGATGTTCCGTTGATTCCAACGTTCTGAGGATCATTTCTATTTCGAGATGTTGCGACCAAAAAGAAACCTTTCTTTTAATACCAAACAAATGTCCCTCCAGACGGGGGGTTCTCCGAGAGGTTCGTGTCAAGTTTTCGATGTCGCTCGATGTTCGGGGGGGTGGGGGTTGGGGGGGGTATTAGCACACGAACATGGTTTGATGTTATGTTTCTGGAATGTTAAGTTGATGTTCATTTGCAAACACGTTTCATGCTATGTTTCTTTCATGTTAACTCGATGTCCGGGTGGGGGGTTATGGATATGTTTCTTTTTTGGAGATGATTTTGGATCAAGGCTTTCAGGTTGCTCTTGCTTTTTCTTACGTTTTGTTGCTTCGCATCGCTGGCTGCGGTCTCCATGTCGCGGGACATTCAGCCGGTGCTGAATCTTCTCACGTCCAGAAGAAGCTCAAGCATGGTAAAATCAAAAATGGCTGACACCTGAAGAGACATCAACATATCGAAAACATGCAAAAATGGCTGACTATCAAGGCGTGCCTTTTCAATGATGTTCACAATGTATTGGTTTTTACAGTGCAAAATGATGGTCAGTCATTTTGCATGGCGAAGCCCATGGTTTTTCACACTTTTGGCAGGTTCGTAGGACAATGTCTCAAACCTGGAAACCTGCTCCTCAAGCAGTTTCACTCAGATCGGGTTTTTGGGAAACTAAAAAATCTAAAAAAACCATTGCATGCAAAGCCAACTTGCGCGAACAAAAACGAAATATGTTCGCAATCTTGTGCTGTCAAAAGAACCACAATTCATGGCAAAACGAATGCCGAACCCCAGCAGGTTGAAGGTTCACTGCAGTTGTGACACCTTGAACAGATGATGCAGCTCGGGGAACCCCCCGTCTCCACCGACAAATGTTTTTTTGGGTCACCTTCGACCCAACACTTTTTTTGGTTGGCATGCGGCGGAATGAAGGTGACGGCTTCACCTTCTACAAGCTCTGTGGAATGCTCGACTCAGCAGTCATTTGTCAAAAGCAAGGATGGTCTTGGGGATCTGCGCAAGAAGATGATTTGACCGTGTTTGAACCAAGGCTTGACTTGGATTTCATGAAGCATGCAGCAGTCATGAGAAGCCGCACACTTCGTAGGGCTGAAGTGGGTCAAAACAACCTGTTAAGCGATGAATTTCAACCTGAGCCATGGGCCACATGGGATGCCGAGGAGTAGAAAGCATAAGCAACCTAATAGCACGAAATTCAACCTAATAGCAATGGCCTCCGACTCCACCTGCCTCGCAGTACGGTAGTGATTTTGAAGAAAGTGTACTGCGAGGCATCGGTGGTTGGCCAGGAGCTCCTAGTAGCGTCCTTGCTCCTAGTAGCAATGCCAGGAGCCCCTAGTAGCGTCCTTGCTCCTAGTAGCGTCCTTGCTCCTAGTAGCGATGCCCTTGTTACTACTAGCTTCTTGAGTGTACTGCGAGGCATCGGTGGTTGGCATGAATCCTTGCCGTCAAGTTGGCTTTGCAAAGTTGGCGGCACAACATGTTGGACCTGAGCACTTTGTTTCAAGCTTAGTCACTCAAAGCGGGCGTCATTGGAAGGCATGAAAATCACACAGTCTCTTTATGGATATGTTGTCTCAGTTGAAGATTCCTGACTCAGAACTGGCTAACAAGTTGCCCAACTGTACTGGGCTCATTGCGAAGCTTCTGCCTGTGGCATCCACCAGCGCCGCAAGCACGCTTGGTCGACCGAAAAAAGATACTTGAGTTGAGACCAGAATCATCCGTGGATGTCTCAACAAATGACATCCTAACATCTCACCTGTTGCTGAAATCGCGATTTGGATATGGTTATATGTCCATTAACCTGCGGAATCGTGGCTTGGGCCCAAGTGACTCAAATGCGGGCAACTACATTCACCGGGTTCATCTCGCTCCTCCTGACTTTTCACACCCTGCGGGCATTCGAAAATCAATCGCTGGCAGCGTATTTTGTGGGCAGAACAAGCCTCCTGGCGTTTGCGAGTCTATTTGTTTGCGACATGGCTTGGTCAGCAACTGGTCCAAGTTCTTCCAAGAAGTCTCCTTGCCCGATTGTTCTCATGTTTCGCACATGCCAATCTTGCCTCATCCCCTGCCGGGCTTCGGATTGATCTTGATTTTCAAGCCAAACAGGGACCAGTGGCTCGGCAAAGCTTCAGCATCCTTCAGCATGTTCTTTTTGGAATAGTATTTATTCATCTCAAGATTTCCAGGTTTACTGTTTCTCCTCTTCCGGGGTAGAACACATGTACATGCAAAACTATTTTGTGAGCATTTTGTCGGGCTTGTTTACAGGTTGGCCGTGTACTACACCATGCGACACAAGGAAGCTTTCCAAGATGTTTCAGCATCACCTGTGCTTGGACCTATTTTTAGTCCTTTCCAAAGGTGATAGGGATCACACCGCACATTGGTGCTCCCTTGACGGGAATCCTGCAGAAGAGGACGTTGGCTGATGCGAAAAGAAAGCAAGCAGATGATGTCGAAACCGAACCTGTAGATGATCTTTCATGGTGACAGAATCTGTCTGTGCTTTTAGCTGCATGGAAACATCATTTTGCAGGGAGAGTCAAGTGTCTTCCATGTTCATGATTGCATAGCTGCATAGCCACTTCATGAAGAATGTGTAGTATTTTGTCAGGGTACCGAACCTGAGTTGTAGAGGCCGTATTGATAGGGACAGGATTTTTGTTTTCCTATAAGGTTGTCAGACAAGTGGTATACTGGAGGCGGTCAATTATATATATATATAACTTAACTTAACCTTGTTTTTGATCGTTCTTTAATCATAGATTATTGAGAGGACTGTTTCTGTTGTACAAATAGAGGTTTGCTGAGTTTGGTTTGATGCATAGAGTATGATTTGGTCAGCAATTCCTGGTCACTCTTTCAATGTATGGAAAGGCATGATACTCAAAAAGAGCCATACTCTGATAGACCTGCACACAAGTTCATCTTATCTCACTACCACCGTTTGGTCTGTCGCTTGACCCCAGCCCTAAGCCTAATCGGCCACAACCGATACTGTCTATGTGACAGGCGTTGATCTTGAAGTTCACCTTGGAGCCTACGGATGATATTGGAAAGTCTTTGCAACAGGTTTGGGCCTAGAGTGCAATCATACCAAAGGTAAGTTGAAGGATTTTTATCGCCTAGGGTTGCAGTGGCGTTCTGGAAACCATTCCGGCCACAGGCGCGCTCTGGAGTTGGGCGCTTCGAAGTTCCTGGGCAGCCAATGTATATTCTGCGTCCAGGGGCCACAGAAGATCAGGCCATGTCCATGTTTGTTGGAGTGCAGATATAGTTCTTGATATACAGGAAGATAGCTGTCATTGTGTGTAGCTTGGCTTTTACCGCGCTTCGAACCGTTTGTACATAATTGTATGTTGTACGGGATTTGTTTCTTGTTTGCATCACAAACGCAAGACATTTTCTTTTAGTAGAGCCGGCCAAAACACATATCACTATTGTTCGTTCAGTTTCCCCTTGCACTGGAATGAGATGAGAGCGCCCTGCAGGGCTGGCTGTGGATCATGGGCTTGCCAGAGGATCTCGTACGCCAGGATCTTGTTGATTTCTTTTGATTCTGTTGTTCTTTGGTTGAACACGCGCCACCTAGGCCGCATTAAAAAGTCTTTACAAAGAGCAGAGGCGGGAGGATTGTGACCTTATGCTTAATCAGACGGTGGGGGGTTCGCGCATTTGACCACGAGCTCGTGTGAGCTTGGCTGGTAACCCTGCTGGTACTCGTAGTGGCAACTTCTCAACGCTCCGACACGGCATGCAGCGCTCTGGCAGGAGCTCCAGGCAAACTTGGGAGGTGAGACGGGCCAAGAGTGTTTCGTGTAGCGATGTACAGTGAGTCGCACGTGTTGGATTCCAAGACTTGCTTCTAAGTGTTGTCTCGTTCACACATGTCACCGTGGACTGTGGCAGGAAGCAGCAAGGTCATCTTTGGATCTTTCCTGGAGATGTGGAACAGTCGCTTGGCCAACTTTAGCCGTTTAGTGTGATTGCGGTCGGTGCGCATATCAGGTGTGAGCAAGCTGGCCAGAACAGGATCCAACAAAAAGAGCCGCAAGCAGGGGTCTGAGGCAGAATACTGCAAAAGAACCTGGGTCTGTTGGAGAATGGCCTGTGTTGTACTATAGGATATGACTGCCAACTCTGCACTCTCCCCTGAAAAGGGTTATATAGCTTTTCATAGCTTGTCCACGCGTGGCAAGTTTCACTCAGGCACTCCGGCCCCAGCTTGGCGTTGGCCTATCTAGACCAACTCTTGAGGCGGGAATTGCCAGACGTCAGAGTCGGGGGGGTCTCTTCAAGACAAATAGCTTGCTCCTAGTCTCGTCCTTGTTCCTAGTAGTAAGGCCAGGAGCCCCCTAGTAGCTTTTTGCTCCTAGTAGCGATGCCAAGAGCCCCTAGTAGCTTCTTGCTCCTAGTAGCGATGCCAGGAGACCCTAGTAGCTTCTTGCTCCTAGTAGAGATGAGGGGAGCCCCTAGTAGCTTCTTGCTCCTAGTAGCCTGAGAACCTCAAGAAAGTCCAGTGAAGTTGGATAGAAGGAAGATGGTGGATATGAAGGCACAGAAGCCAAAAACATTGCAGCTTTCCCACGGGGCCAGGCCTCAAGAAGTCGCTCCACGCCTGACCCTTGCGTCACTTGGTCTCATAAGGCGTTTTCTATTTGGATTTGCGATGAACCGGTGGATATTTGCAAAGAGCCATGCAAAGAGTCCAGTCCAGCGGTTTTGGAGGTCATTTTGGCACTCAAATGAGGCCAGGCACAAGCGTGCCCATCCTTGCTTCTTTTTTCCAAGTGACCCTGGTAGGTTGTGCAACACGTAGACCGGGGTGACGTCAAAGGCAGGCGGCCCAGACATGTTTGCTTCTCACAATCCTCTTGCCAAGTCAGAGGATCCCGGGATTGGTGCGGTGTCACAGCTACCTAAAGAAGCAGCATCTTTGGTGGTCAAGATCATTTAGAAAGCACAACATGAAGACGGTACCGTGCAGCATGCAGATAGATTTGCCACTGGCTTGGTCAAGGTTGGATTGTATTGGTTGGAGATGCTGCATGTGGAAAGCCCTTCTACCTTGGAAGCAACCTGTCAATGTCTCAGCTGATTCAAGAAACAACGGGCTTGCCCACCCAATCGACCCAAAGCTGGAAACTTGAAACATTTTGCTCTTCCAGGAACGGTCACTTTCAGGATGCTATGACCTTACTGCCCAACGCCTGGACAGATTGAGTGGTAAAAGCTTGCCGCTTCATGTTGAACTGCATTGACGACCTATGATAACCCACCCATTGATTTCAGAGGGATTTTCTGAGGTCAGCGCCCTGGACACAGTGGCCCCACAAACAGGGTGGAGAATCTCCAATGCGCGAGGCTCCCTTTAAGCACTGGGCCAAGTGGGTGTCTTCATTCTGCTTTCATGACATTCTAACCTCAAAGTCGTGTTTTGTTTGGCTTCAGTATGTTCAATTGTGTTTTCAAATGAGGCGTTATCAGAGTGAGTACTGGAAGCGCATCAGTGAAAGCCAAGGCAGGCAAGAAAGACACATGTTGCGGACTGGTGGTGAGTTCAAAGTCTATCAGGTTTCCGGCCGGCAAAAGCATGAGGGGCCCGTATTTGCCACGCGGTTTCTAAAAGCTTTCGAGCTGTTCTGATTTCAAGTCGCGGCATTTTTTTTGCACTTGTCTTAGTCCGGCCAAAGATGCCTAACACTAGTTGCCGCAGGAACTCTTTTTCAGTGCAGCTTTGCTAAGCAACGTTTGCCAAGCAAACGTCGTTTGCTTCGCGTGATGGTGCGGCGCAAAACCAGAGCAGTGGACACATCTCCGCCGTCCCACCCTGACTACTAGGAACAAGAAGCTACTAGGAGCAAAGGGCATCGCTACTAGGAGCAAGGACGCTACTAGGGGCGCTCCTGGCCTTTCTACTAGGAACAAGGACGCTACAAACGGAGCAAAGGGCACGGTGCGTTCCGTGACGGAGTGAGGCTTCCGGACTTGGAACCAGGATGCCCATCAGAGGCGCGTTTCGCCGTTTCGCCAGAGCAGACCATTTTGTGGAACAACATTTCTTTCATTTTTGTGGAACATGTCGTGTGAGATATATAAAGGCAACAAACTTAACAAACAGCATGCTTTTATATGTTTTCCATTTTCACGATATGGTTGGTTCGAGCTTATTGATTGTTTAATGCTTTTACACCAATACATTGTCTGAAATTGAGAAGCATGAGAAGCATGGCAGGTAAGCATACTAG